TGTTGGAATGTACATCCTCCCACCAAATACCATCATATTGGGGATTAAGTTTCAACAGATGAGTTTATGGGGGACACAATATTCAGCCTATAGCACTAATTACTATTTAAATTCTCTTGCAATCCTACCTAATAAAGACAATAAACATAAATGCAGTAGGAAATTCTTATGCTAATCATAATGATTAATTTAGTTGAGCACTTTCTAAATGCTGTTTGTCCACTGTTTTGCATACCTTAGCTCATTTAGTGCTGATGGCCACTCTAATAGGTGGGTACTACCATTATCCCTAGTTGACACATGAGGTGATAGAAGGGTAAGCCTGCCCATGGCTACTTAAATAGTGGAGGCAGAGAAAGAATGGGAACAAGAGGAGGAAGTCATGCTGCAGAGCCTGGGATTATAACTGATACCCTTTTCCTGTTTATAAGCCACATATTTTTTTTCTAATGCAAAGTTTGCACATGCTGTGAGACTTTGTCAGTTTGTTGTTCACTTATCCATTACCTGTAATCAAGTGACCAAAATGCTCACTTTTTATATCATTACTGAATTTTGGGGGAGACCCTAAGCCTCAGTGCTAGCTTCTGCTTCCTTGAGTGAAGGCAAGACGTTCAGGTACAAAGTCAATAGGCTCACTACCCTGGGTCTAGGACACTGCACATTGTTTTGTATTCCTGCCAGAGCGGGGAGTGGAAAGCTGAGTTCCCAGCCCTGCACTCTCCACCAAAGACCCTGAGAAGCCCTGGTTCAGGGCTGGGCTCACCGGTGCAGCCAGGGTCATCTTTCAGCGTCACTTGTTCACACTGCAGAATCTCTCAGGAGTAGGGAGAATGTAAAGCCTCTTTTCACTTGTCACCAGTAGCCAGGTACTGCGCCCATGTCATTCAGTAGCTGAGACACATTCTATCTTAATTTTTATCTCTCCCACCATCCCCATTACAGTAACTAGCTCAAAACTTAGAACTATTAAATATATTTTAATTGATTGATAATTCATTTTAATGTTATCCATGACTACATGTAAATATAAACACAAACATTTCTGAGGGAAAAAATAGATGATAAGTGAAAAGGTATTTTCATCCATAGCCCACAATTTGATTCAATAATTAGTTTGTTAAATTCCCAAGTTTTTGTTCAAATGAAGCTGGAGATTTTTTGTTAATACCATCCCGAGAAATAGGGCCAGGAAAGCAGGTTCGGTTAGAAGGAAGAGGAAGAGCTAGTGTCATAAAGAGCTTCCTTAGGAAATGATACATTAAATAGTCATGTTATTAAAAACGAGGCAGTACACATTAAGGAAAAGTCCTTCCTGTTGCCTCCATCCACTCACATATCCTTTCCAGTGTCAGTCTCCATCCCAGTTACGTGTGTCCTGCAGGCTTCTTTCTGTTTGAACATATGTACATGCTTTTGGAGATACAAACGAACCATTTTACATGCCCATTTTAGCAGACAAAATGGAAGTATAATTTTAAAACTATTCATACCTATATATTTTTTAACTATGTAATGTATAGCAGGAACAAAATAAAACCATCTGATTGTAGAGAAGTGAGGTAAATACTTAAGATTATGTGAAAATTTTATAACATTGAACAAGCTAGCCATCATGTTTCCAATCCCCTAAACACTCACTAACATAATTCAGAAATTTAAAATAGATTCAGAAAAGGGTTTACCAGAGATCACTTATTTCAAATTTCACAGAAAAAAACCTTAAGGGATGTCACCAGTACATCTGGCTAAATATTCAATGAAAGGTGGGTATTACACATGGGTTATATATAGTACTTGCATAGTAAAGCACATTCAGTGACATATCAAAGCACTCTGAAAACCATGTGGGCATATTTCATATGCATATTTCATTTGCTCTAAATTTTAATTATCTGGAATTCTTGTTACACAGCACTGCCTAGATTTCTTTTGTAAATTACTTTTTAAATTTTTAATGATGAGCTTTGTGACTCATCTTTGCTCTATGAGAAAATGTACTTACCTGTAGCTCATGTTATGTGAGGAAGGTGTACACTGACTTTATTTAAAATGTTCCCATTACATAATTATTGGACAACTAAAGTTTATTTAAGAAAATTACACCATTGTGCTTCAAATGTTAGGCTATTACCAGGTGATATTGGAATTAGAAATTTCAAAATTGATGTCATAAGGGATCATATTA